AACTCTAGGGTTTAAGCAGGTATCGATATCATCAGCTTTAGTAGCTATGGTGCGCGCGGTGCCAAGAGGATTCACTGCGACTGTGGATGCCTATCTCACCCCTGTTATACGATTGTACCTCTCCGGTTTCCTTGAGGGCTTTGACGAGGGCTTGAAGGATGTGACGGTGTCGTTTATGCAATCCGATGGGGGTTTGACGCCGGAACATCGATTCTCTGGTCACAAGGCCATTTTATCGGGGCCTGCGGGAGGGGTGGTAGGATTCGCGCGGACCACTTTTGGATTGGAGACGAATCAGCCCATCATTGGCTTTGACATGGGCGGGACATCTACGGACGTGAGCCGATACGATGGAACTTACGAGCAAGTGTTGGAAACGCAGACTGCAGGCGTCATAATTCAAGCACCGCAATTGGATATAAATACCGTAGCAGCAGGTGGAGGCTCTATTCTCAAATTCCAGGCTGGTACCTTCAAGGTGGGGCCGGAGTCTGTTAGTGCACATCCAGGGCCGGTCTGCTACCGGAAGGGAGGCCAATTGGCTGTGACCGATGCTAACTTACTTCTGGGTCGTGTTATTCCTGATTTTTTTCCTTACATCTTTGGTCCCAACGAAAACGAACCATTGGACTTGGAGGGCACGCGCGCCGCATTTGAATCGCTGGCTCCAACGATCAACTCCTATCGCCGTGAGCACGACTCGCATTCGAAGGAGATGAGTGTGGAGCAGATCGCATTGGGTTTCCTAGATGTCGCCAATGAAGCGATGTGTCGACCGATAAGGCAGTTGACGGAGATGAAAGGTTATGAGACGAGCAAGCATACTCTGGCCTGCTTCGGTGGTGCAGGCCCTCAGCATGCATGCGCTATTGCTAGAGCTCTTGGGATGAGGGAGGTCATAATTCATCGCTTCTGTGGAATATTGAGTGCCTACGGCATGGGGCTTGCGGATGTGGTGGAAGAAGCACAGGAGCCTTACGCGGCTGTCTATTCCCTCGACTCATTGGCAGAAGCCAAGCAGAGGGCAAACAAATTAGCCGAAGTCGCCACAAGGCAGCTTCGCTTGCAGGGGTTCCGTAAAGACGACATTAAAGTAGAAACGCTCCTCAACCTTCGATACGAAGGCACTGATACTGCCATGATGATCCGAGAACCAGAAGACGGCAGCAGCGATTTTGCAGGTGCGTTTCTGAAGCAGTTTCGTCAGGAGTATGGGTTTGAACTACAACGGAAAGCTATCCTCATAAGCGACGTCAGAGTACATGCGACCGGGATTACCAACATTCTTCAACCTGTCATCTTGGACAAAGCAAAAAATGAACCGCAGGAAGAGGGCAGAAGGCACAGAGTGTACTTTGGTTCTGGTTGGCATGATACGCCTGTTTACATGCTTGAGAAGCTTCTTTGGGGTCATACAATACCTGGGCCTGCAGTCATCATGAGTGGAAATAGCACTATCTTAGTTGAACCGGATTGTAAGGCGGCCATTACCAAGTATGGAAATGTTCACATCGAGATTGCAGCTGCTCAGCCACCTGCAACGCTCTCAAGGTTGTCCATGGTCAAAGCAGATGTTATTCAGCTGTCCATTTTCAACAATAGGTACATGCTTTCAACTGCTTACTTAAGACATAAGTGAAGGAGTGAAAGATATCATATATCTTGCGATGGTGCTCATCCTTTTGACTATAAATAGTAAAGTGCTTTTTGTACGTACCGTTAATGTATTTATATGGTTATCTGTTCATGTTCATTTCTAAGCCATAGAGTCATCAGCTCTGACAAAGATTGTTCTGAACAGATTCATGGGAATCGCCGAGCAAATGGGCCGGACTTTGCAGCGGACTTCAATATCCACAAACATCAAAGAACGGCTAGACTTTTCTTGTGCCCTGTTTAGTCCAGATGGAGGCTTAGTAGCTAATGCTCCTCATGTACCAGTGCACTTGGGAGCTATGTCTAGTACCGTCTGTTGGCAACTCCAGCATTGGGGACAAAATCTAAAAGAGGGTGATGTGCTGGTGACCAATCATCCTGCCGCAGGTGGGAGCCACCTTCCTGATATTACCGTCATCACTCCCGTCTTTAAAGACGCGATTCTTATTTTTTTTGTGGCGAGCAGAGGTCATCATGCTGAAATTGGTGGTATTACACCCGGAAGCATGCCACCATTTTCTAAAGCTATCTGGGAAGAAGGAACAGCTATCAAAGCCTTTAAACTAGTCGAGGGTGGGGTTTTCCAGGAGGATGGCATTACAAACATTCTGACAGCAGGCATGAAGAACACTGAAGAGGAGGAAACTTGCGACAGTGGACATATGGTACCGGGAACTCGACGAATTGAGGACAATCTTTCGGATCTTAAAGCACAGGTAGCAGCAAATCAGCGGGGTATTGCGTTGATTGGTGAACTTATTGAACAATATGGCCTAGAAGTAGTGCAAGCTTACATGCACCACGTTCAGGCCAATGCTGAAGAAGCTGTACGTGAGATGCTCAAATCCATGGCTCAAAATGTTCTCTCTCAATCTCGCGCTGAACATGATGAGTTAGTGGTCTTAGAAGCAGAAGACTACATGGATGATGGATCAACCATTCATCTTAAGCTTACAATAGACGGCAGGAAAGGGGAGGCTAGCTTCGATTTTGAGGGAACAAGCCCTGAAGTTCTTTCGAATTGGAATGCTCCAGAGGCCGTTACGGCAGCAGCCATCATCTACTGCTTGCGTTGCCTTGTAGACGTGGACATCCCTCTTAATCAGGGTTGTTTGGCACCTGTGTCTATAAACATTCCAAAGGGGTCTTTTCTGTCTCCCAGTGATAAAGCCGCTGTCGTGGGTGGAAATGTCCTTACGTCGCAGCGTATAACGGATGTAGTTCTTACAGCCTTCCAAGCCTGTGCCTGCTCTCAAGGTTGTATGAACAATCTTACATTTGGAGATGCCACGTTTGGCTATTATGAAACTATTGCTGGTGGAAGTGGAGCTGGTCCTACCTGGAAAGGAACCAGTGGCGTCCAATGTCACATGACCAACACTCGCATGACTGATCCAGAAATTTTTGAGCAACGATACCCTGTTCTTTTGCACAGGTTTTGTTTCCTTTCTCGGTAGCTCTACTCTGGTTGCTGTTGGAAACTTCTTTTTTTTATCCTACTTCTTATTCTAGTTTAGTCTGTGTTTCATCATTCTTGCTAGTAAATATAATATATTTCCGTCATTAATAAACATTGATAGAAGCATTTTTTGATGCAGGTTTGGGCTACGGGCCAATAGTGGTGGCGTTGGAAAACACAGAGGTGGTGATGGGGTCATACGGGATATCGAATTCCGAAAATCAGTGACTGTCAGTATTTTATCTGAACGGAGAGTGCACGCACCACGAGGCCTTGCGGGAGGAAAAGATGGTGCCCGTGGTGAAAATTACCTCCTCAAGACTGACGGTCGGCGTTTGTTTTTAGGTGGAAAGAATACAGTTCGCGTGAAAGCAGGAGAAAGACTCCAAATTCTTACTCCTGGAGGTGGTGGGTGGGGTTCTCCTGATTCGTAAGTCAGCTGTTGATTGCCGTATAAAAACGTATATAATGTACTGTTGGTTTTTACAGTTGGATTGCTGCTTGATACAACCAACAGTCAACCAATGATCAATTCCTATTATCACCAATCTATGTGCTAATATCTCCTACTTAAGAAAGAATGCATTGCATATTGAGTATAAACTGAGAGTCAAATAAAAGCATGTCATTGCTTTTAGGTGATCATCTATAATTGTCATAGCATCATAGACCTTGCTATGGATAATCATCCAATAATTGTCTTTGGTAAAATATTGCTTCACCTCCATGAAACTGAACACCTTTGATACTCCATCAAATGCCATCATAGTCTATTATAGTTCAAAAACAAAATCTCCAAATGTCCAAAAAGAAAGAAAGAAAGAAAAATTGAAAAAATCAATTTTTTAGAAAAATGACAATACAATCTTAAAGAATTTAATTCCAAATTTTGAGTAATAAGTTTGTGAACACCACAACTATAGATAGGTTTCATGTGGTACTAGGCATTGTTAATATGCACACCATAGCCACACACAATATTACACTAATCAATACTAGAATTTATAATTATCTTCAAATTTCATCCAAATCCTCTTATTATATGTTGTGGTATAAGTTAGATATGTGGCACACATATAGAAAACTTGTCATGCAAGTTAGACACATGTTCTATGAGTGGAGCACATGTTAGAGATCCTATAGAACATTGCCACATAACTCCAAATTAGATAGTATGTATAAAGGTAAGAATGATGTCTTCTTTACTCTTGTCAACTTTTTTCTTGTTTCTAATCTAGTTTCAAGAATCTTTACTTTTCTTGTCTTTTGACAATAGCTATTCTAATTTCTTTTTGAATATATATATATATTATTACCTTTCTTTAAGAAATATCTCACTTATTTATTTTTTGAGCTTTTGTTGTTTATACATAAAAAAAATGAATATAAGGTTGAGTTTCAAACTAAGTATGAATATTTTAAATATGATGTTATGCCTTTTGGATTCACAAATGTATCGAATACTTTTTAACTTTTAATAAATATTTTCTTTAAGAAATTTTAAACGATTTTGTTATCTATTATTTTAATATTATTTTAATCTACTCTAAAAACACTAAAAAGTATAAATTTCATGTTTATCATGTGTTATAAAAACTTAAGATAAAAAAGTACATATTTTATATAACTCAAATTGGCTTTTTAGGATATATGATTTTAAATTATGGTCTTATAATAAATCTTAAGAAAATTCATACTATAATAGATTGAAAGATTTGAAAAACTATAAGAGATATACAATGCTTTTTGAAATTTGCCAATCAGTATCATGTTTTAATCAAGAATTTTTTTGAGTTACAACTTCACATATATATTTGACTTGTAAAAAATAAACTTGAGTAAAATAAAGAAGCTAAAATAATATTTGAAGCTTTAAAGAAAGCTCTTATTTCACACCAATTTTGTATTATATTAATTTTTTCAAGGCATTTTTTGAGAATATAGTTGCATTGGACTATGTGTTGGATGCAGTATTGTTACAACTAGAAGTTGATGATAAACTTCAATAAATAATTTTTTATTAAAAGAAAATTTTAATAGTCTAAATTAATTATAAGATGCATAACAAAGAACTTGTTGCAACTATGGATTTACTTTAAGAATGGCACCAATACTTAGAAGGTGCTTTTAGTCCAATGACTATTTATATAAATAAAAAGAACCTTAAGTATTATATTTTTGTATGATTTTTAAGTTTTTATCAAGCTTGGTAAATCATGTCTTTGTCAAGATTTAAATTTAAGACCACTTATCAACCAAGAAAACAATAAGGTTTATTAGACACTCTTTTTGAATGTTCTTATCTTGTACCAAAAGATGAAGATGAAGCTTTTGATCAACAACAAATTATTCTTTTGAAGTTGGAGCAATTTCTTCTTTAAACTATAAAACTCAACATTGAATGTTGATTGAATTTTTCTTAAGAAAATTAATCAAGTATATAGTCAAATATTCTTATCTATGATCATAGGAATAATTCTTATAATAATTCTAATTATAAATTAAAAATAAATATTATCTATTTCAAAGAACACTTATATGTTTTAGAAAGTAAAACATAGCTACAAGTTCTTTAAAATTTTCAAGATTTTCTAACTCCATGATATTTTGAATATAATAAATCTTTTGAATTAATATTATGAGTTTTTTGGTAGCATCAAATATCAAAGTGATTAAAGACTTTGTACAATCATATGATATTTTTTCAAGATTAAAAACTCCTTGTCATTGGTCTTATTAACTTCTTTAGCCATTACTTATACTAAAAGAAGCAAGTTTTATTTTTATTTTTATTTTTATTTTTATTTCTATGGATTTTATTACAAATCTTATAATTTTAAGTTCATATAATTCTATATTTATGATAGTAGATCATTTTACTAAGATGTTACATTTTATATCATATAAAAACATTCACATGTGAAGAAATAACTAAAAAAATTCTTTAAAATATTTATTTCTACCATAGATTTTCAATAAATTTTATATAAGATAGAAGATTTTAATTTATATCAAGAATTTTAAGAATATTTTTAAAAATATTATAAATAGATATACAACTATCTTTAACTTTTTATTCTTAAATTAATAGAGAAATAGAATATGTAAATTAAATTTTAAAAAATTAATTAAAATATACTATGAAATACCATCAAGATGAATAGACAAAAAAATTTCCATTGGCACATTTTGCTTGTGATAATACAATATATTGTTCTACTTAATAAATGATTTTTTATGCTAATTATGATTATTATTGACAATTTGATGTTTTTGACTTTATAAAAGTTGATAAATTTATAAAAAAAATTATTTATTAAAGCTACATATAATAATAAATAGAAAATTAATAGAAGCTCAAGAATAACAAAAGATTATTGTAGATGCATATTGTAAGGAACAACTTCAATTCTATTCTGGCAAAAAAAAAAAAAAAATTTCTTGTTTGAATATCAAGATTATTTTCTTCTAAAACATATTGGATTATTTTAAAGTAATACCATTTCTTATTTATAAACAAATTAATATATTTGTAGATTGAATATAGCTACAAAAGTCTATGAAGATCCAAACCATATTCTATGTGTTCCTTCTTGAGTCATAGGAGATAGTAGATATATCAAGATGAAGATAAATGCCACCTCTTTTTTGTAGAAGTTGACAAAAATCACAAGTTTGAAGTATAAGAAGTCTAAAATTCAAGGTGGCACCAAAAGATGTTAAAATATTTTGTAAATTAGAAAAAAAATGTTATTAATGAACACAAATAGGAGACATCTTGATATTTTGTAAATGTAGTAAAGATGATTGATGCTCTTTATTAACAACATCTATCAAAACCAAAATGAAGGCCTCAATATGTAATTATTGTTTCTTATGGAATTTTTCCTTAGATGGAGAAGTAATGTCTTAGACATAATTAATAGTATTAATTATTTAGATAAGAAGACTTAAGTAGAAATAAGTGTAAGTAAGTAAATTTGATAATATCTTTTGAAATTTGAAATTATCTATTGGCCACTTATGATATAAGTTGGCTATGTCACACATTTATAAAAAAAACTTATTTTGTAAATTAGACATGTATATTTTAAGTTAAACATGTGTTAGAGGTCCTATAAAATATTTCTACATAGTTCCTAGTTAAATAGTATATATCGAGGCAAGAATGATACCTTTTTCACTCTTAGCATTTTTTTTTTTTTTTTTTTTTTTTTTTTCTTGATCTTATTTTAAGAGTCTCTAGTATTCTTATCTTTGATAATAGTCATTTTAGTTTTAAAATTATATTATCTTTGAGTGAATGTCTATTATTTTCTAATTATATAAGATTTTATTGATTCTTTAAATATTTTAAACCTTAGAAGTGCATGTATAAGATTTTTAGTAGATGAATTTATAAAATTATTTGCAAAAAAGAAAATTTATTCAATGTATGATTTTTATTTGGACTATAACCAATTTCAACTTTCATATAGAAGTAGAAATTTGACAACAATAAGAACATTATTTGGACTACTTAAAATATATATTCTTTTATAAGATGCTATTAGTTCAATTAAATATATGATAAATGGAATGTATAAGGTATTTAGAGATTTTATTCTTAAAAAAATTATATCTTTTCTAATTGATGTTTCTATAAAAGGATGTAAAGAGAGAAAAAAAAAATGATACTTTAGATGAAAGGAGGTGTTATAAGTATATAATTAATTCTATATAAGATTGCCTTATTGTTGACAACTTTACAAATTTTATCTTATACTATCAAAGACAAAATCCATATTTAAAATAGAAGAAGTTGTAATTATTAGGCATTAATGTGGATTTTATGGAAGAAAACTAGATCCAAATAAAGTTAATAAAATTAAAAAGATAAATGATACATGTCACTTTTAAATAAAATTATATAAGATTTTGGATGTGGATATTTAATTATAGATGAATTCTTCATTATGATTACATAGTAGATCCATTATATGAATTATCACATAAAGGTTATTAATTTAAATGAAATAAAAAGCATATTAAAATAATATAAAGACTAAAAGTATTATTAATATTACCTTCAATTTTAAGAAGAATTAATTATGTGTAATATGATTTTAATAAGAATTAATAGTATCAAGAATAGTTCTTATTATGGATATCAGTCCTATTACTATTAAATAGATTGTAGATTAAGATGATTCAAGTAGAAATAGATTTGCAGTTTCATTTGGTGCTAAGATTTTGAGTATTTGTCAACATGCATATTTACAAGTCAAAAGATAACTATAAATAATTATTGAGGCTATAGAAGCTAAAAAAGATTATTTGATTAGTAACTTGGAAGTAATTAAAATAAATTGCTTGCCATTACTTAAGATGATTATTAATTGTACAACACCACATATTGCAATGTTATGATGGATTATCTATATTAAATTATTGAATCCTAAATTCAAGCATGTTGTTGGAAAAGACAATTTAGTGGCAAATATGTTGTCTCAAGTATAGTAAAATAGAAAAGATGAGATGGTTGAAGACATTGATGATGTAAGAAGAAAATTCCATTTAGTTTTAAATTTTAATGAGAAATACAAGTTGTTTTATGAAAAGCTTTGTGAAGGAGAATTGTTAGGTATTGGTTATTACTTAAATACTTTAATTAAACAAAAAAAAATTAGTCTTTAGAAAAATTTATAAAATTTATAAAAAATACATGTGGATTATTTTTATAAAAAAGGTTCTTATAAAGGAAACTAAAGAAAAAAATTATGATGCTTTTATAAATAATCTGCAATAAAGAAGAGCAATAAAAATTATTAAAAGAATTTTATAAAAATTTATAGGCAAGACATAATGAAATTGGGCTACTTTTATTAAATTTAAATAACAATATTGGTAGAAAAATATGTATTAAGATGTGCTTTTATTTTTAGATTTACATAAAACTTATTAAATATATTCTAATATTGAACATTACAATAGTTTATATTCATATGTCCAACATATCTTTAGACTATTCATCTTAAATGGATATCAATTTACTTAATATGCTAATTAAATTATGAAAAATAAATTATTTGATCTTGGCTTGTGAAGATTCATCAAACTAAGTAAAAGGTAAAGTATTACAAACAACTTCCACAAAAGGAATTTGTAGATTTTTGCTTAAAGATGTTATTTGGTGCTAAGAATATGTAAGAAAGGTTAGTATAGATTGTAGAGAATTAAATGTACTAGAAGCTTGTGATTTCTTTAAAAGATGTGGAATTAAGTTTTTATCAATTACTACTTATATTCTATACGATTTTGAAAAAAGTGAACATGGACATCTACCAATTATAAAAGTATTAGTTAAAATTTATAATGGAAAGATGAAAGAATGACTACAACTTTTGTTATTTGCATTTTAAATTGATTAAATAATTCATAGTTTAATAACAAAATATATACCTATTAAGTTCATCATAAGTCAAAAATCTATTATGCCAATTGAAGAAAAAGTATCATCTTGGAATGTGCTATTGTAAAAACTTAAATTGAAAAGAAAAGAACTTTTAGCTATAAAAATTCAACAACTTAAATAAAGACTAAAAGAAGTGCAAATATCATTAAAAAGTTCAAAAAAGACAAGATTACAAAATAAGACATAATATAATAAATAACATTGATTGAGATATAAGATGATTGAAGAAAGTGATTAGATTTTGGTCTATAATAGTAGCTTAGACAATCAAAATAATACTTTAAAAAAAAATAAATGTTGGTTTGGACCATATATGGTAATAACTTACCATAATAATGCAACTTATTTACTACCAGACCAATATGGAACAAGGTTGAAAATACCAATTGTTTAGAAGTGAGTGAAGATATTCAAACAAAGACATATAAAAATTAATATATAAGATCTTATTGAGGACTTAAATCTTCTAAGATAAGAAGATGATTTTGAATTAGATAACAAAAATAATGAAAAAGATTAAAATGAAGACATAGAAAGCATGGTATGAATCCAACAACAAACTTTGGATTATTTGGTACATATTAGAGGATGCTTAAGTTTAAAAAGGGTAGATGTTCTATTCTAACATGACTATATGGTAAAAGATATAAATATAAATTATAGTTTTGTAAAGCATAGATAAAAGATAGGAATGTAGTAAATTGATTTAGTATTAATATTGTCTTTTATAAAAAAAATCTACTTATCTTGTAAAACCAAATTTAAAACAAATAAAGATTTTTTAAAAAAGTAAATAATGTAAGCATCTTTAAGAAGGAGTTGAGATTAGTTTCTAGCAAAATTTTACCTAAAAAAGATAGAAATTAACACCTAAAAAAAAACTAGTTGTGAACTAGAGTTGAAACCAAACCTCAAGCCACAAAACCACACATCTATGGCAATTAGAGGGTTCTTTTGTTGATTGAAGAGTAATAATAGAGAAAAAACTTGACATGATTTGCTTTAGTACTAACTTTAAGTAATTTAGATCAATACTGAATTTTTGAGAGATTTTCAAAGTGTAAGGTGTTTTAAGCGATTTGAGATTTTGAAAAATAGATAAGAATTTATATGTTTTTGAACATTCTAGCATACTGGTGGGTGAAAATTTGTAAACTTGTGTTACTACTTGACTTAAATTTGTATTGTAAATTTAAACTCAATTGAATGGTTAGATTGAAGGTTATTAAAATTTAATTAGATTGGACTTTTGAAATTTGGATTTCAAGGATTAATATGAATATCTTTGATCTTCAATAATTTTAAGATTGCTATAGGATTAGTTAGGGATTTTTAGGATTTTTTTAGGATTTCATTAGAATTGATTAGAGTTTTTAAAGTTCTATTTAGGATTTGGTTCTAATTTATTTAAGTTTTAATTAGTATATTTATAGAATTTACTTGTTGGCTAAGTTTTTTAACCTAACAATCAATTAAAAACATGTATAAAATCAAATCCATCTCTATAAAGCTTTTAAAAAGCTTAGCTACAAGATATTATTAAATCTACCTACATTTACCTTCTACCTAACACTTCTTATCCAATTAATTATGTCGGTGATAATAAGACAACATGCATTACATTGATTCATACATTTTATGTATATGATTTGAGTTTTGAGAATATATTCTCAAATTCTCAAATATTGTTTAAATCAATATAGGACCCTTCAAAAAAGAATGCTAGAATTATAGGTTTATATTTAAAAATTATTAGCTTCAATTACTATGAATGAATGCAAGAGACTAGATAAATAAATGAAAAAATGTATTAGAGTTCTAATTATGGCAAATAATAATTAGATAAATTATTGAATAAACTTCAAAGATAATGATTGTGACTTAGTTTAAACCTACATTAACATATAGATTTTCCAAAAGCTGTGTTCTCCAATATATGGCATCATTTTTAATACATATATTTTTTGCACATTAGTTTCTGAACTAGACCTAACTATTTTCATATTCAATTATGATTGTCATTGTATATAATATAATATGTTTATCAAAATACAAAACACAAAAACTTAAGATTTAATGGTTATTATTGATAGACTGAAATTATTTGCAAATATATATTCAAATACAAATTCTATTGGAATTACTATACAAAATTTTACACCACATTTCTTAGATAATTAGGAATTACAATTCGTATGGTATAAGTGTAATGATAAACATAACACCTTCCAAAAAGGCCAAGACATGATATAGTGTAATTTTTTCTTTACCGTTCAACAGATTGAGCAAAGTAGCATACACTACGACATGATCCAAGCATGAATTGTAAGAAAATAGCTAGCAAAATTTTTCCCAATTAATCTTCATGTGCATAATCCCAAGAGTAAAATAGTCTTCAAGGACATGGACTATTTCACATAATAGAAACCTTCACTTAAAATCCTTCAGTTAGAGCTGCAACGCGACCTTGCAATGGTGGTGGAAGCTCCTCCACGGCCCTCAGAATTTCCTGAAAAAAACAAGAACTTACTTATGCAGCTGGAGACTAAGAAAATGGATACAATGCAGAAACCTATTAGGTCAAAGAAAAGAAAAAAGAAAGAACTCAATCAAATGTTGTAAGAGACTAGTTTAATACCTCCCGCTTGTAGCGTGCAGAGAAATGTATAAAAAGAATGGACTTGTTAAGAAGTCTATTTGCATACTTGATAACCTGGAATCCCCCGAACCATACCATAAACTGTCAGTAAATTTCATCGCTACTTTACAACACTCGTCAACCTAAATAGTAAAAGTCAACCAACTCGCACAGGACAACTACAAACTTATGCCGAAGCACATTAAGAATACATTACAGAATTAGCACAACAAAGTATAATCGAAAACAATCACGCCATAATGCTCCAAATTCTAACTCCAGTCATTGACGTTATTAAGAAGCTGTACCTCTGATAAGTGGGTATGTCCATATTCCCTGGCGTGTTGTATAGTAACAGCATCATCCAAGAACGTAGTCTGTGTCATCCAAATTCCGCATAGTACATTTTAAAGATATATTTATTATGTGTAACTCATTTACTGTACCATTCCATTAAAGACTTCCCAATAAAATCCACTGCGAAAGTATTATAGACATTACTTAAGAAATCCTTGGTATCATATCAAGAACAAAAGGGCACCTACTGTTGCAACATCTCTTTACAAATCCAAAAAATCAAGAAAACGAATCTTGGTAAACATAGAAATGACGTAAGCACCCATTTGAACAGAATTATTCCCAGTTCAGCATTTGGGTATTCCAGCAGGAAACAGCTAGAACCAGTATGACTTTCAAGTACATGCTAGACATAAATAATTTTGACCGGAACAATAAATATTCTATGACCAAATTATTAAGTTCAGAAGATCATTTACCTCCATGATAAGAAGCTTGGCTTGTAAAGCATCAATATTAGCGTCATCCAAAATAAAATCCGGCGTAGTGTCCCCGGTGAAGGCAACCTCTGGTACCCTCAATGTGTCCGTAATCTGCAGCTTTAAACCGCCGAGTTCGAAAGCAGCAACAAAACCTTAGGTTCACAACTGGCATCAACCGTATACATCAATGTAGGTCTTCCCGGACATACCTACTTCTAGAACCATGCTCAAGAGTAAAATTCAGGTACAATTAGAATTTCAACAACTTAGTTCACGTCAAGTAACATCACCTGCACACCCGACATTTTCAGTTCTTTTATCTTCTGCCCTGGAAGACCTAAGTATTCAGGTTTCAACTTATTCTTCACCGAATACACAACATATCCCTACTTCACAGAAATGACTATGTCAGCGAGTCTATCCCGTGCAAAGAAGTTTAATACCTAGGATGACCTAGAAAGACTAGAAGCCACTAATGCAACAAGTTCAGAGTGAAACAAAATACAACGATGTACAAATGCCTGAAAGGAAATATGAGAGCTCTGGTAAAAGCATGTTAGTATAAGATCATCGGCAAAATTTGGATCAAGAATAAGTGGTAATGAGGAATGTGGTCTAAAATACTGTAGCCGAATTTCAAATCTAAAAAATTTGGATTCTTTATCATATGTGAGCTCACATGGAGAAAACTTAAAAGGCATAACCTGGCTTGGGACGACGTGATATGTCTTGAATGCCTTCACGACCAAGTTCTTGCCCATGTTGAATTCTTCACCAATCTGCAGGTCATTGTTCAGGAGATGAATAAAATTACACGAGGGAGTATAAAACAACAACAAATACAACAAAAACGTGGTATTGACAGGACGGCACTGATACCGACCAACTGACCTCATCCACCGCCAATTCTCCTTGTTGGCAACTAAGAGAGTAAATTCAAAAAACGTATACCTAACTTACATCCAAACCTATCAACTGATGCTTTAACTCCGACCCGTCAAGCTCCCTGTGCACATCGAAGAGCTTCTCCACTGTGGGTTTGAGGCATTTTGGGACGATTACTGTGGGTGGCTTCATCTTAAAAAGTCCACGTGTCGCTACATACATGCAGACACCACCCTGCGGACAACAGCCAAATAGTCATCAATGAGCCAACCAATATTTCTAAATGCACAAAAGATCCGTCAACGTAACGCATCTACATGTGGCACCATTGTTCATACTTTCCGCCTGCAAAAATTGCGGAAGTACAAAGAGCTCCTTGAATGAAAGCAATTACTGAGTGGTCCGCCAAAGTCCAATCCTTACCACGACTCTCATGGAAGATTTTAATCCAATTGTCCAGGGTTACTCTCTCAATTCAAGAAAATTTCGTCACTACGTCTTCATCTAACCATTACAAAGAAAATCCCGAAGAGGAGAACATACGCAGAGTAATGAGGACGCACAATGTGATCCATGTGGGCATGTGAGATGAACAAAAAGTCCTGCGAAATGGCTCGCTCAGGGCAGCGTCCGATGTCAAAGGCGAGCTTCAGAGCTGGAATCAAGATACAAGTCTCCTGGCCTCCCACTGAGACCCCTTCAATGGAGAGTCCGTCAACCTCCAAAGCACCGGTTTTGGACCTGCCAAGCTTCAGTTGCTCGTGGCGAGAGGATGGAGTATCTTTCATTTTGGAATCTGCAAATAAAAGATGCTTAGGGAGGGGTTACAACAAGAGGAAGGAGGCGGAACCACAAAGGACAAAGAAAAAGAGAAAGGGATGCAGGACCTGAGGGTGCGGCAGAGGCGGAGCTGGATGCATGAGCAGGGAGAAAGGCCATGGAGGAAGGAGTAAGCAAGGGAATTGTCATGGAGGAGGGGGCGGGTGGAGAGAAGCCATGGAGACGAGGGAAGGAGAAGAGCAAGGGCAGGCGAGAGAAGAGCATCAGGGGAGGGCAAGGAAGAGAATAGCGATGGCGACGGCGATGCTGATAGCGACGAATACAGGTGGGAGTCGGAGGAAGCAGCAACAGAGTGTGACAAGAGCACTCTCGCTCTCGCACTTGCACTCACCGTGGAAGGAATGAAGGGAAGGGAAGGGATGAGGGAGGGAGGGAGAGAGGAAGGGAGGGGTCGGAGTCTAGTTCAAGCTTGCCATACATCGACTCATCTTTCATCTATGTATGACTCTAGGCTTCAAACCGCAGATTGCTCTTACCTCCACAGAAACGTTGCCTTGCATTACTACCACAGCACAAGAACCCCCCCCCCCCCCCCCCCGTTCCCCCAACATGTGCCCTTACCAAACCCTAAAACTTGTTCATGCTTCTTTCTCACACCAACCCATCTCTATTGCAATTCATGGAATCCTTTTAAAGTTCCAGCTGTTGAATTGATTAGCAACTGGACAAATTTCAAGTTGTGCAACCATCCAATTTCCACTCGCTTCACTGGTTTCATCTGCAACCATATAATCAATTGTTTTGAAAAATAATTTCTCAGAATACAAATCAAATTTCAATGCTATGTAAACATATAGTCAATCCTTGTTATAGTCAACCTCATGAGACTCACAAACTTGTTAAATACATAGTGTAATTGACAATGTAGTGTTGACTACATGGTGTAGCATAGAGTAGGTGGTGTAGATTGAGATTGGCAAAATAGATTGATTGTAATCTATAGTTGGCTTAAACAAGGTTGACTATAACAAAGAATGATTGTATCAACGATTATTTCTTAAGAGTATTTTATTTATTTATTTATACAATATATATATATATATAAATAAATAAAAGAATAACAGTTAAGGAATAATCTTAAATGGGAACCAAACGCAAATGAAGCCTTGAAGAGAGTAAAGATGATATCTTGTTTATTTTAGATTGTTTATTTTAGTTCTAATAAACCAATTTTTACATGAACCAATCCTTCAAACCTTATCTCATATTTGATTGAAAATGAAGGGAGAAGAATATTTTCTATTAGAATAAACAATAAAATCTTATATAAATATTTAAAGTGTGCTTTTATTTATTATTAGTATAATTAAAATTCTATTAAATTCTATTAATATTTTATTAATTATAATATTATATATATATATATACTAATAATGAAAATGACTATATTGTGTAATGGTGGACTGTTTAGTAAAAATGACACATTTTTTATTTTGTACAAAATAATTATTGATAAAGAATTAATTAAATTTTGATTTGATAATATTTATTAATAACATAGATTCTAATTAATAGCATGTATAATCCAAATTTTAGATTTATTTGCAAATTTGAAGGATTTTTTTTAATATAAAAAACATTCATATAAAGTTACCTTCAACATTCATATTAAGTTATCTTCAAATCATAGACAAATCAAACATATAATTCAAATATTGAAATAACATTTGTAATGTACTATTATTTATTATAAAAAAAATCAGACAACTTATTAATCTTTGATTTGACATTAATCAAATATCAAATTGGCCAATAGAACCATCCAAATTAGAAATACACATTATCAAAAAAGAAAATAAAACTTATTATCTAGTAGTTCCAAAAGTCCAAGTTTTGATACTTTAGACTCAACCAAGTCCAAAATCTTGTATAGTCAAAAGCATCTCTTTAGAATTGGCTTAAATTTGACTTTTTTTTTTTCTCACATTAAATCAACATTAGATAGTTATTTTTTTATTAGTTATCAAAGTACAAGTTTCAATCAAAAAATAGCCATCTTATATTAGAATTGATGAATAATATGCAAAATTGTTATCAAAAGAAATTCTATATCAATTATTAATTTGAATTAAACTATTTATAATTAAATTTTGATAGAAATTTTAAGATCTAAAATTATATCAAAAAAACTGTAAGAAAAATAAAACACTAAATTAAAAAATATCCTATCTTTATAATAAGATTTAAAAAATCTTTTATATTTATAAAAATAATAAGAACACTTTTAGCCTTATATTAAATACTTAATGTTATTTAATTCATTTCTTTTTTCTTTTTTCTCTCTCTATACATATACTTATAACTATTGATATTTATGGTTACTTCTATTATTTTTATTAATTATAGGAATTTAGTTTTTACTTTATTATTATTATTATTATTATATTTTTTTATTAATAATACTTCTAATCACTTTTAACATTGTTGTGTGGTAACATGGCCATTAGGTGAAAGGAAAAGAAAAGTATTTTATTATAAAAGAGCCTAATTAAAAATATATAGTAAAAAAAAATTAAAAAAGTGATAGGCAAGTAATAAAATCTGTTAGTATTAGAATTGTTTTTTATAAAAATAGGTTCTATTTACTTTGTAGAGCCATAAATAAGGTAAAATAAGATAAATTAAAAAAAAATAAAGGATATACGCATATGTAGGAAGGAATTAGGAATTGATTTTAACAAAAATTACTTAAAGATGACAAGAATTGATACCTAGAGAGGACAGATTGCCAACTAGAATTGAAATTAGATCTCGAGATACAAAACTAAATACCTATGGTGACTTTGGATTTCTTTAGCAAATTAGAGAATGGGATTTGAAATAAAACTTGAAAAAATATTTTTGAATATTAATTTCATGTCATTTGGATTAATATTGAGATTTTGAGGAATTTTCAAAGTTAATGATGTACTTTGTAGGTTTAGATTTTGATAAATAAAATATGTTAATAAATTTTAAGATTTTGTGAATTTTTTAGTGTGTATATAAGTGAAAATTAGGCAATTTGTTGTTGTGATTCTTTTGAATGTATTTGAGAAATTTAAGGTCAATCAAGTAGTTTGATTAAAGTATATGAAGATTTTTGTAGGTTATGATCTTTGAGATTTGAGATTTAGGATCAGTGAAAGATTCCATGATCTAGCAATATATGCTAATTGGATTGAAGCAAAATTTGATGAAAGTAATTAAGACTTAAATATCAACACACAATTCAATTTTTGGAATAATTAAACAGTTCAACAATGAGAAATTGGTGTTGAAAGATCAACATTTAAGTCAAAGAAGGAAGGCAACCAACATTCAAGAGGTTTTGGAAGTTTTTTTTACAATGGATAAGTCTAATTCTACTCAAATTTTGTATATTTATTAATTGTTTATTGATTGAAGTCTAAATAAAATTTTAGTCAAGATCTACAATTCAATTAATATTTATTGAGGTTTCAAATAGCTATAGTAATTGATTAAAATTTACTTAGAATTTTTTTTTAATTCATTAGAGTTTAGAATTTGATTAGAATTTGGCCTAGGATTAGGATTTAGAATTTGTTGAAAATTTAATTAAGATTTGTTTAAGATTTTTATTAAATTTTTTTAAAGATTTGATAGGATTTGATTATAGTTTAAGATTTTATTGAGATTTGATTTAAGATTAGGATTTAGGATTTGATTAAAATTTGGCCTAAGATTAAAATTAAAATTTTACTTAGAATTTTATTAGATTTTTTTTAAGATATAGGATTTTATTAAGATTTGGTTGAGATTGGTTTAGGATTTTATTAGGATTTATTGAGGATTATATAAAGATTTGATTAAGATTCAATTAAAATTTTTATTTTTGATATTTAATTTTTTTACTATCTATATATATATATATATATATATATATAAATATGTATATATATATATGTATATAAGTTTAATTTAATTTTTTATATTTCTTTTGTAAGTTATTGAGATTTTTTTTGGATTTAATTAAAGATTGATTAGAATTATTATATTTTAATTAAAGTTTTTTTTAAGATTTTATTAGAGTTGTTAGGATCATCTTATTGTAAATTCTATTTTTTCTTCCATAGCCAAGTATCTAGTATATTTTCAAGCAAACTTCAGATAATATAAAAAAATAGATTTATTAAGAATATCTACTTCTTACTTAGATCAAGTATCTCCAATTTGCCTTCTATTCTATAAATTCTATTACTCTAATCTCTATATTTGATCAATTTTTTTCAATTTCTTTTAATCAATCAACTTAATTTACATTGCCTTTATTTTATTTGAAGTATGTTCTTAGACATTTCTATGTTATTAATTTAGTAATAAGTCTTAGACTTCAATGATTTTTATAAGAGACCATGATCTTGATGGAATTTGGACCAAGTTTAGATTTATATCTATAGGAGTAGAATTACTAAAAGATGCAATTGTGCTTTCTTTTATAGTTAGAAATATCTATAGTTTCATATGTTAAGGTCATGGTTTTGAAATCTTTATTTATTTAGAAAAAATTTCAATATCCAATTGAAGGTATATATGATGTTCTACGTTATATTAAATATTTGATTCTATCCATGATAATTGAAATGCTTTTATCATAGACATTTATATTTATTCTAATAGTTACCTAAATAATATAAGTGGATAGAAGTAGGTTAATATAGATAAGTTTGATAATATCTTATAGAGAAGCTCATTAGAAGCTTTACAAATACGGTTTTGTATTTATATGTATCTATAAAGACATAAACTTGATAAAAACTATATAAAACTTGATAAAAATTATGGTGATTTGTAGGATAAAAATTTAGTCAACAAGTTGACTTCATGTTACACATGTTGGTGACTTGTGGTACAAATTAGATACGTGGTATATATAATAAGCTTATCTCACAAATTAAATACATCTCTTATGAGTTGAATGTGTATTGGAGGTTTTATAGAATGTCACTACATAGCTTCTAATTAGATAGTATATATTGAAGCAAAAATAAATCCTTTATTTTTCTTATAGATTCATTTCTTGTTTCTAATTTAAATTCAAGAGTCCTTAGTTTTTTAATCTTTGGAAATAGCCATTTCAATATATATATATATATATATATATATATATATATATATATATATTTCTTTTTATTTTATTATTTTTCTTTGAAAATTTTTTACATGTATATTTGTATTCATTAAGTTATGAATCATCTTTACTTTTAAATTAATATTATTCTTAGCATTTTTTTTTTATATTTCAAGTTCTTTCTTCTATTTATCTTGAACAATAGTAGATATCTTTTTTTCTATTGTGTAATGATAACAAAGCTTGTTAAAATGAAGACTACAATGATACAATGTATGAGAAAATTAAAAAATTAATGCTTGTAATACATCAACTCAATTTAATACCACAAAAAATAATATTATTAGTAAGAAATAAAGATATAGAAATGATTAAAATTTCTTTAATATTTATATCAAATTATATATATATT